GGGAGGAGGTCTTTCTCAACCTCGGTAAAATCTTCTCCAGGGCATTGAGGTCGTTAATGATGGAACTTGAAGGTACCCCTCCCTCCACACCATAAATTCCATTTAAGTCATTTCAACTTATATTTCCGATGATATACCAGATGTTCTGAGAGTGTGAGGGGGCTTGTCGACTGGCTTTAATGTAATTTGGGTGGACTGTTTAGCTGCGGAACTTCCAGTCTTTTATCTTTGGATCCTTCTTTTACCGCAGATCAAATACACCTAGAGGTGACGCTCCAACTTCTACCTGGAGGAGGCAGATCTGGTTGTAAACATTCTGGGAGCTGAAAGGAGGAAAAGGACTCGGCGTCTAATATATACTTCACCCAGTGCAGAGACTAAAGAAGCCTGTTCTTTGCTAAGGAGGACGACTAGGATTGCCAACAGGAGTTAAAGAGAGAACCCAGGGGTTTGAGGGCTTCAAAACAAACGTGCAAGTGTTACCATGGAGACTGAAGCAAACAGGAGGAGGGGAAATAAGCAACCCTTAGAGAAAACAGAAAGCATTCAATGAGGAGAAAACTTTATTTATATCCCGAGATGTGTGAACCCCATTGCAACTATAAAGCAGTAACAGTCTACTGTTTTAAAAGGAGCACTTAGAGACAAAAAAATATAATAGTAGAAATGAAAACTTCAATAAAATAGTTGGAAGATGAACGTTGGGAAGTATCCGGGGCTGGGAGTGGGGGTGGGGGGGAGAAGGGAAGCAAAAGGTCAAGTAAGTAAAAAATAGGAAGGAAAAAATAAATTAGAGGAGCACTCCAGGGGGGTTAAAATCCAAAAAATAAGAGTTCTAAAAGAAAAAACAACAACAGTAGCGAGGGAAAGAGTAATCACCAGCAAAACAATTAAAGAAAATTTCTCCAAACCAAAGGTCATGATTTTCCAGATTGAACTGGGTCCCACTGCCCTGGCTTGTCACTGTGAAACTTCAGAACGCTGAGGTCAAAAAAACAATCCTAGGCTTCCAGACAGGAAAAAAAAAAAGATCATTTAGAAAGGATCAAGAATCAGTATATCATTCAATTTCTCAGTGGTCACAAAGAAACCCAGAAGACATCAGAGCAGGTCTATCAAACTTCAAAAGAAAATTTATTTCACACTGAAATTCTGTACATGACTAGTAAACTACCAATCAAATGTGGATAAAGAATAAAGGTGTGTTCAGACATTTAAGACCTCAACAAATTTCCCTTTCATTTATTTCTCCTTCCTCAGGAAGCTACTGGAGATGTATGTACTCCATTAAGATGAGGACTAAAAAAAGGAAAAGAATGCATGTGATAGGGGAAACAGAAGATACAGCGCAGGAGAAAAATAAAGTGGGAAGCCCTAACAACAGCTGAGCACTTGACATAGGTGGTACAGGTCAAAAGGCTCCAGAAGAGATTCCTTTGAAAAGGTGAGTGGATAGAACTCCTTATCTGTCAGAGTCTCTGGAGAGAGAAGTTTAACAATCATTAAGAAGGCAGGGCTTGGTTTAATGGTAAAACAAAATAAGACCATTATTAACTTCAAGAAAAACAAAAACTGTGAAGGGAATAGAATTAATCAAAGTATATTACTTTGCTCAAGATGTTTGCCTAATCATAATGAAGTTAACACAATCTGTTTTACAAGTACAATATAACGATACTGGGCATATAAAGAGGTGGGAACTGTGGTGGGGGTTGGGGAATGGCTAAGGGAAGGAAGAAAAGATAAACCCTCATTTTTCATTAAGTGAAGTCAATAGATAGTGACTAAAAGTGACACAGCAAGAAATAGAAATGCAAACATTTCATAGAAATGAAGGTAAAAATTAAAATAACCAGTTGAAAGAGGTGAAATGACTTTGAGGAAGAAGAAACAGGGAAGGAGTGAGGTGGGAATATAGTCTCTGCTGTTTCATTGCAAAACTTACAGGATTTTTGCAGAATTGACTCTAACTCACAGATATGTATAACTCTGATAAAAATTTTAAAAAATAAATTAAGAGAAAAAAATTACTCTAAACCCAAAATTTTGCCTCTGAAGAATTCTCAGTCCCGTGAAGGAAATAGACATGAATATTAATTTAAGATTGAGTTACAGGTAAGTTCAACAAGGGATATGTTTGCATTGATTGAGGGAGCACAAAAACCAATTAACTGCTATCTGGAAAAGGGAAAGAGTCATCTAAGATGGGCAGAATATGAGACAGTAAGGATGAAACAAGGGATAAACCGTGTTTTAGGCAGTTAGCAATCCATAGTGCTGTGCTTCATCGTTCAGTCGTGTCCAGCTCTCTTCAATCTCATGGACTGCAGCCCGCCAGGCTCCTCTGTCCATGAGGATTCTCCAGGCAAGAACACTGGATTGGGTTGCCATGCCACCCTCCAGGGGATATTCCCCACCCAGGGATGGAACCCAGGTCTTCTGCATTGCAGGTGGATTCTTTCCTGTCTGAGCTACCAGGGAAGCTCATTCCATAGTGCTGGTGTGTAAAAGCAGGATCCTGAATATTATACATAATATACATGTAAGGATATAATTTTAAAGTTAACATTAAACTGTCAAATGTTTATTAAAGGGAGTTGGAACAGGCAAGAAGTTTTGAACATTCCTGTTATTTTAACTATAAGAGCCAATAAAGAACTGCCTTTTTGGAGAACAAAAAAAGTAAAAATGCGTATTTTACTTGGATCTTGTCTAAGGCAGCTTAGGCTGAAATGCAAAGAGGGTAAGTTTTGACCACGGAGTTAGTTAATGTACAAAGAAATGTGAATATTCTTTCTTCCATATGTGTTTGTAAGGAGTTGGGCCACAGTTTCAGAGAAGATACTTTTTTTTAAAGGACAGTTAGTTGACCCTTGAACAACATAAGTTTGAACTATCCATGTCCACTTCTCAGATTTTTTTCAATAAATATGTACTTCAGCACTGTATCATCCACGGTGAGTTGAATCCGTGGATGTGGAACTGCAGATACAAAGGGCTGACTATCAAGTTATACTTGGATTTTCCACTGGACAGAGAAGAACATCTACTCTGCTTCATTGACTATGAAAAGCCTTTGACTGTGTGGATCACAGCAAACTGGAAAATACTCAAAAGAGATGGGAGTACCAGACCAACTTACCTGTCTCCTGAGAAACCTGTCTGTGGGCCAACAGTTAGAACCAGATATGGAACAACTGACTGGTTCAAAATTGAGAAAGGAGTATGACAAGGCTATACATTGTCACCCTGCTTCATTAACTTACATGTAGAGTATATCATGTGAAATGCTGGGTTGGATGAACAACAAGCTGGAATCATGATTGCTGGGAGAAATATGAACAACCTGATATGCAGATGATACCACCGTAATGGCAGAAAGTGAACAGGAACTAAAGAGCCTCTTGATGAGAATGAAAGAGGAAAGCGAAAAAGCTGGCTTGAAACTCAGCATTCAAAAAACGAAGATCTGGCATCTGGTCCCATCACTTCATGGCAAATAGAAGATGAGAAAGCGGAAGCAGTGACAGATTTTCTTTTCCTGGGCTCCAGAATCACCACAGACAGTGATTGCAGCCATGAAATTAAAAGACACTTGTTCCTTGGAAAAAAAGCTATGACCAACCTAGACAACATATTAAAAAGCAGAGACATCACTTCTGTGACAGAGGTCCATATAGTCAAAGCTATGGTTTTTCCAGTGGTCATGTACAGATGTGAGACTTGGACCATAAAGAAGGCTGAGTGCCAAAGACACGACTTAGTGACTGAACAACAAAGAAGGCTGAGTGCCAAAGACACGACTTAGTGACTGAACAACAAGAACTGAACAGAGTCGGTGCCCCTAACCCCTGTATTGTTCAAGGGCCAACTGTATGCAAAAATTAAATTTAGATTGAATTTCTACTGTGTGTGGGTGGTAAAAATATTTGCAGTTTGCTGTCATTGGGACATTAACCTAACCACAGTTCAAGAATATGTGATTGTACATGCATTAGGGACAGAAGTACTTAACTGAGATGAATAATATCAGAGGAAGGCAGGATAGAATGCTACCTGTCTGCACGAATTATCTATAATTCGCTAACCAGATTCCCACATGTAAACCCAGGATTTAAAACAAGTCTACAAAGAAAGCTAAACACCAAAGAATTGATGCTTTTGAACTGTGGTGTTGGAGAAGACTCTTGAGAGTCCCTTGGACTGCAAGGAGATCCAAGCAGTCCATCCTAAAGGAGATCAGTCCTGAATATTGGAAGGACTGATGCTGAAACTCCAATACTTAGGCCACTTGATGTGAAGAACTGACTCATTGGAAAAGACCCTGATGCTGGGAAGGATTGAAGGCAGGAGGAGAAGGGGACGACAGAGAATCAGATGGATGTATGGTATCACTGACTAGATGGACATGAGTTTTGAGCAAGCTCCGAGAGTTGGTGATGGACAGGGAAGCCTGGCTTGCTGCAGTCCCTGGGGTCGCAAAGAATTGGACACGACTGAGCGACTGAACTGAACTGAAGTGCTACTATGGAAAACTATATGGGAGTTAGTAAAAAAATTTTTAATTACCATTGTTGTTCAGTCCCTCAGTGATGTCCGACTCTTTGTGGCCCCATTGCCCCCATGGACATAATTACCATATGACACTGCAATTTCTCTCTGGGTTTATAACCCCACCAAAGTGCAAGTGCGGCAGCCTGTGAGCTCCTAGAGTTAAAGGACCACAGTGAGCTCCAGCCCCCACAGGTTGCGAGGCCGAAAGATGCGAGCGCGATGCCTCCCCAGGTCCGAGAAGGAGGAGCGGGATGAAGTGGGTGAGACTGCCTCCCCTGACCGGTGGGCAGGGCCAAAAGCGGGGCCGGCGGCAGAGGGCAGGCTCCGCCCTCAGGGGAGGAGCCAGCAGGCAGCCTCGCGTCGGTGCGCCGCACGTGTGCGAGCGAGGCGGCTGCGAGTCCGACGGAGCGCTGCGGGGGCCTCGGCGTAAACCGCGCTCGCTGCCTATGCTGGGCTGCCCTCGCGGTTGGTTTTTCCGAGTGGCCCTTACCTCCGCCTTCCTCCTGCGTCCGGAGCAGCACTCCCGCCTTCCCGTCGCCCGGCTTGCGCCGCGCGCACGCTCTCAGGCCCCGGGTAAGTGTGCGGCCTCCCCTCTGCCTCCTGGGCTCCGCGGCCAACCCTCGGCCCGGCGCCCCTGCCCGAAACCCCGCCTGGAGGGGCAGCATGGACTCGGAAGGAGTCCCGGTCGTGTTCTGAGCCCGCGGCGCGTCCACGGCGCCTCCATTACGGATGGTGCCCGCGGGAGCGCGGCTGGATCCCGGCTGGTCGTGCGCCTCGGCGGTGCCAGCCCCGCCCCCCGCTCTCCGGGCGGGTCCTGGCGGCCGCCGCGCCCTCTCTCCTCCTCCCAGCGGCGCTGTAGGCGCGTGGATCCCTGTCCCACTCCTCCCCTTCTTTGCCCCCGAGGTTTCCTAAACTCTTCTTCCTCCCGGAAGAGACAATCCGCCTTTATCCTGAAGCCCTTTACTGCGCTCCCGTGCACCGCTGGGCCCGCCCACGTTCTTTCACCCTCTTATTTCTTTCTCATTACTAACAGCGATCTTAGCTGTGTGCCTGGCAGGCCCTCAGGTGACTGTTTCATACACGTTTCCCAGGATAGGAACAAACCAGAGTTTTTCTCGGTCAGATTTAAGTGAGTGGATGCCGCAGGGGGTTGCTGGGTGTGTGGAAACTAATCCGCAAGGTGTCTTTACCTCCAGCCCTGCACCGAGAGATTTAAAAATACACTCTCATTGCCTGGGTATTAGGGCCTGCCAAGAAATAAGGTTGGGAGAGTTTAGTCTTTCACATATTTAGTTCTGTTGTCAGACCACTTTTTTTTTTTTCTCGGAAATCTATAGGATAACAAAGGTTGGTTTTTGTTTCAAGTCTCTAATCTGTGAATCGGGCAAGCCCCATCACCTGGGGATGCCTCGGCTGTTGAGGGAACTGTCAAAAATCAGACTCCTGTAAACTCACTGAAAAGGGACTGCTGGGTGTGCAGTGATTTTGGTCAGTCATCAGGCAGAGTAGCCAACAGTTCGTATGTATTAATTTACAGCTCCTTTTGAACTTTATATTTTGATAGAAACTGGTGCAGTAGAGCGATTAGTAAAACATGGCTTTTGGCCCCAGAAAGGAGAGAGAAATGACATTCCAGTTGGTCCCTTGACTAAGTTTGCTCCCATTTCAGATCCCTTGTTGGCCCTGTTTCGGCTGCTGCCCAGAACACACACCTTTTCATGTCTAGTTCTTGCTTCAAGCCTTTGCTCACAAGGCACCTCCTTAGACTTCACTGAAGAGCCCCCCTCTTATTCTCACAGTCCTTACTCTGCTTGATTTGTGACTTTTACAGGTGTGCGTTTCCCGAGATTGTTTTAATTTTTTTCTCTGATATGTGAGCTCAGCAGGGGCAGAAAATTTTCTCTTCCCCAGTGCCTGGAACAGTGCCAGACAAATAGGAGGTGTTCAATAACTGTTTGTGAAATGAACAAATCTAGCGGACTTCATTACTTCACATACTAGAGTGTAGTGTGTGTCCTGCCCTAATGAGAGGGCTCCTTATTATGAGAGCTGGAGGGCTTCTTGGTGGTTTGCAGAGGAGGAGTAGAGATGCATTTTATTTTATTTTATTTTATTTTATTTTATTTTTTGAGAGATGCATTTTAAAAGGATAAGTTGTGGAGGGTTTTGAAGTACAGACAAGATTGAGACTAATATTGCTGTTTTTTCGACGTTCATTTTGCAGGAAATAATGTTAAGGGACTATCAATATTGCGTTAAAATTTTGAAAATGCTAAACTTGATTTTTATTGTGGATTGTAGAGGAAGCTTATTTGTGAATCTAATTTCTTACTGAAAAACTTAAAAACTGTTGAAATTGTAAAATTTCTAATCCCATTTTGTTCATTTGGAGTGTAAAAGAAATAAAATCTATTACTTTAGTATTTCCTCTAATGAATTGTGTAGGACTTCGAGTTCATGGGTACGTATCAGTGGATTTCATTTTCTTCCCAGAAGCATCAAGTTTCTGGTCTCTAATAAAGATTGCTTGATGAAAAGAAAAAAAAAAAAAAGATTGCCTGACATTTGAGATGCTATCTTATTATTACGGATAGTGTATTTGTGCAGCTTTATGTTTCCCGAACATTTTTGAAATTTTAATACCATTTAAAAACTCATAAAGCTAGGCCTTTTACTTCCCATCCCTCCCCGCCCCCTTTTTTTTCCTTTCTTTTTTTAAAGCCAGTCATTTTTTACAGCTTTACCGTAGAAGACTTGAATATGTATATTTGGATTTTCCTGAATGCAAAGCTCATTTCCTTGGAGCAGTCGAATGGGTGCAGTCAGGGTTGTTCCATCTTTCTGGTTAAATTCTTCTCAGTCTCTTGGATGTTCACATGGTCCTCTCTTATTTAGAAATTATATTTCATTTCAGTCTTCTCGTTTATGTATTTTCTGCTTAAGAAATTGATGCTGATTTTAGTTCTGCCTCTCCTGGTCCAGAAGTTTGCACAGCTGTTCTAATAAATATGTTCTCAGCTTCTAGGCCCATAGACAGAACTTAACAAAATATATATTAAGTGATTTATAATCACTTGTGCTACATACACCTTAATTATTAATGTCTGTATTAGGGCCATCGGCTAAAACAAATGGAAAGTATAATTTTGTTTAATGAGCTTGTCTTTGCAATTAAATGTAACAAGAAAAAGATCAGGCAAGTGTCCACAAGTATCAAGAAAAAGACTGCCAAAAAATACTAAAGGCCCGTTTATTTGGTGCTCTTGGCAGTGCTTTGAGGGTCTCTTAAAATTGAAATGTTTGAAGGAGAAAGCCATGCTTAACCATTAGCCCAGAAAAGAACCATAAGAAGCTTTGATTTTTTTCCCAGACTCAGCAGCACAGTTCTGCAGTGGAAAGCATCCGTAATAAATATTAATGACCAATAGTTGAATAGCAACAGCTAGATCAGACCTTTGACCATGTCATCATTTTTCTGCTTTACAGAGAAAGGAACTGAGACTTCAGAGTGGTGGCTCACTTGGTAAATGGCACAACCTAGATCAGACTCCAAGTCACATGCCCAAACTGCCACTCACCAAACAAGAGTTGACACCAGTGGTTGATACTTCAGAGCCACCATCTGCTAATATCCTCATTCCAGGGATGTTAGGTGTAACAATGCTGTCCTAAGCCTTCTAGAATTTCATTCACATAGGGGAAGATGAGTGATACCCGTATTTTGGCTTAGGTGACTGGTAATTTGTTGGTAAGATTTTTTGAGGTAAGAGATGCAATTTAAAAGAAGTGCATTTGTGGTGGGAAAAGATGGGATCACTTTAGGGCATGTTGAATTTGATGTTTGACTCCACCTCTTACTAGCTGTGTGAACTAGTGCAAGATACTCTCTGGGCTTCAGTTTTTTAGGGCTAAGGTGGCAATAATAATGACATGTAAGTCACAGGGCTGAAGAGAGGCTTGAAAGAACTTACTGTGCACACGCTATCATTGTTTAGCTGTTGTTCTCATTGCCTTGGACCCTTGAGTGAACAAGGAGTTCGAGATGGGTCTTGGCTGGAAAACGAGACTGAGAAGGGATCAGAACCGGGGAAGGAACCCGGGGAAGCCAGATGTAAGCAGCAAGTTGAGCAGGAGGGGGAAAGAGCACCTCCAGAGGCAGGAGAAAAGCATGGAGTAGAGGCCGGATCTTCCACCTGAACGTGAGCTTCATGTTGGGCGGGTGTTTATTTGACTTGCTTATGTGTCGTGTTTTGTCGTGTGTGGTGCCTGGAATAGTGCCCGGCACAGAGGTGCGCGGTGAGTGTTTGTTGAGGGGATGAAGTACAGGTACGAGGAGCGAGTGAATGTTAAATGAGTCTGGACCTCCCTTCCGAGGGCTGCCGTTGCTTGCAGTGGTTATAACGGGGTTTTGTGAATGTGCTGGTAGGAGGTGCACTGCCTGAGGACCCCTGTTTTCTTTGTGAATGGCACACAGGAGTTGGAGGGATGGCAAGACAGCCTGGAGGGTTGTCATGAGAAGAAGTCCACTCACCTGGCCTTGTGTTCTCCAGCCAGGAGTACAGGTGGAGGCAGCAGAACTGGTCCTCAGTTGAGGTTTAGCAGGGATCTTGCAGCAGGACTAGTGAGCAAGAGTGCTGAGCATTGGTTAGGAGTTTGGAGTTGAGCTTTGGAGTACTTGAAATGAAGATGAAAGAGGTGGTATCTTGGAACTGGAGGTCTTGGTGTGTTTGAAGAACAGGTGGTCGGAGAGAGGGAGCTGTAGAGCTGGGAAGAGTGGTGGTTTGATGACAGTAGAATAATTAGTGTATCTTTTTATAACTTGAACTTCTATAGTAAAACATTTCAGACATATACAGTAGGCAGAATGACGTGATGACATCCCCATGTTCCCATCACCCAGTTTCAACAATTATCAACTCATGGCCAGTCTTGTTTTAAATCTGTACCCCACTCCACTTGCATTCACCACTGGTAAATTATTTTGAAACAAAGTCCAGACTTCATATCTTTTCAGCCATAAAGATTTCAGTCTGTATCTCTAAAACAGAGAGATTCTATTTTTAACCACAATATCACTGTGGTTATATTGCTGAAGTTGAAGCTCCAATACTTTGACCACCTGATGTGAAGAATTGACTTCTTAGAAAAGACCCTGATGCTGGGAAAGATTGAAGGCAGGAGGAGAAGGGGATGACAGAGGACGAGAAGATTGGATGGCATCACCAACTCGATGGACATGAGTTTGAGCAAGCGCCAGGAGTTGGTGATGGACAGGGAAGCCTGGCGTGCTGCAGTCCATGGGGTTGCAAAGAGTTGGACATGACTGAGCGACTGAGTTGAATAGTGATATTGCACCTTAAAAGTTGACCATGCTATCTTAATGTCATCAACTGTCCCCACTGTTTCAGTATCCCTGATTGTCTCATAAATACATTTTTAACCATTGGCTTGTTAAACCTGGATTCAAAGAAAGATCCAGGTTTATCTATTTGTACATTCCTCTTTCCTCCTTTTCCTGTTGCTATTCATTAGTTGAGGGACTGTCTTGATCCTTGTTGAGTTTTCCACATTCAGGCTTCTGCTGATCACTTCCCCGTGGTGGTGGTGAACGTAACATCTGTCTCTTTATGCCATCTAGACTAGTAGACATAGTTTCAGTCAGTAAGAACTTCATAGACAACAGCATGTCGTTTCAGGGGCCTGCAGCGTCTGGTTGTCTCTTTTTTGTGATGTTAGTGGCCGTTGATGTCGTCGCCCAGGACCAGTATTTCATTAGGGAATTGCTGCTTAGTGTGTCTTTGATCTCTGTAGATGGGGAAGAGCTTCAGCACCTGTTTCAAGACGTCTCAAAAATATCCACTGATGCTTATTATACTTCTCTGGATTCTCTGGCAGGTACTAGAGAATTAATATCCTCAGAGAGTCTGCACACTCTTGAAGGAGGACAAGAGACTAGCATTTATGTAGTTCCTACTGTGGCTAGCCACTCTGTCATCTCATTTCATTTTCACAACAGTCCTTGGAAGCACATATTATTCATGTTTTTCAGCTGAAGAACAGGGGCTAGGAGAGGGTATTTACTCTGACCAGTTACACAGCTGGAAGGTGGGGCGGGAAAGCCTGGTGTTGGGGTGCTTATATGGGTAGTGCACGTGAAGGGAGGTAAAATGGGAAGACGTGGACTTAATAGAGAGGAGGGCATGGGATTTGGGCCTCAAGGTCTTCAGATGAGTCTTAAAGGACAGGTGGTGGTGGTGTGGAGCTGGTCGGTTGTGTCGGACTCTGCAACGCCCGGGATTGCAGCACACCAGGCTCCCCATCCTTCAGTCTCTCCTGGAGCTGGCTCAGTTTCATGTCCATCCAGTCAGGTGAGACTAGGTTGATCTGAGAATACAGATATGGAGGACCTCCCACTGGAGAGAGTTCTGTGAGCAGTCAGGCTGGGATTGGCACCTGTGGGGGCTGGGCCTGAGTTAGAGGCGTGTGTGGAGGATTGGAAATCAGCACAGCGGATGATGGACGGTGCCGAAGCAGAATGGGGAAGAGGAAGTAACCAGAGTTTCTGTCAAGGCTCGTGGCCCTCAGGTTGTTGAGAAGGAGCATGATGAGTTCTCTGCGTTCTGGGAAGGAGGTAGATGTGCAGCTCACGATAAAGCCTGAGCCCTCCCTGAAGAGAGTAGGGTGCAGGCCTCGGAAGGGTATCACGACCTCCTGGTAGATCCTGTCATGCCAGCTGGGGACTTGGGGTGGGGGTGGGGGCTGTTTTCTCCTAGAGATGTCTTTGTCTCTTTTAGCTGGCAGACTACTTGAGGGGAGTGAATTGGGACAAGTGGGTGGCCCAGATGTCACCGGGTTGTAGGCGACTGAGCACTCGCCTAGGCTGTGGCTGGTCATCTCAGGCTTAATTTCCACTTGGTTGAAGGTCTTGCCATTGTAGATGCCCACCGTGCAGCCCACCACCCCAGGCAGGGTGATCACATTGCGCAGGTGTGTCTTCACACCCGGGGCGTCTTGGTGGCCACGCCTTCTTCTTGGCTTCCTGCAGGCAGTTCTGCAGCCATGCTGCTCGCTCCGGAGGCCACTGTTCCGGGCCAGCAGCTCACAAGACACACTCAGTCCCCGGTCGAGGGCCACACCGCTGCTGGGGAGCCATTGTGGGTTTGGGGGGAAGACTGTGTGTGACACAGTGTGATAAGTGACTCAGGGATGTCCGCCAGGTGCCAGCAGCGTTGCTGGACTGTACATGCGCTTGTCCCCTCCCCACCCCCAGGCCCCCACACCTCTTTCTGGGGTCCCCATGTCAGGAAGAGTTCCCCTACCCACTCAAGTCCCTAGGATGGAAAACCTGACTCATCCTATAGTATTTCCTCTTTCCTCCCACACTGGTCACCCAGTCCTGTCCGCACCACCTCCTAAATGTTCCTGAACCCACCTCCGCCTTCTGTTACCCTTGCCTCAGCCTTAGATCAAGCTGATTTCTTTCCTCGGTTGTTGTCTTACCTAATCTCCCAGCCTAACCCCATCTTTCTCTTTGAAAAGATGCCGAGAACTATCTCTGACTCATGAATCAGATGGCAGTTTGGTTTTTCAGATGTAATTCCCTCCATTCAGCCTGCTGTGGCTTCAGCCAGCTCCCAGCTTTAGCTCCAGGCTCTCTGCTCGGAGGCTTTGCTCTTTGTGATGCGGGGCCAGCCTGGTGGGGTTCCTCCAGCTCCTGTGCATGCCGCGCCACCTTCCTCCCCCCTTTTCCACAGCCTCTTACGCAGTCCCCAAAGCTTAGCTCTTGTGTTCACTTCTGGTCTTTGATTAGGAAGGGGTCTTCTCAGACACCCTCACCGCCAGAGCGCCAGGGTCCTCTGTGGGTTGCTGTGTCTCCACGTAAGCCCCAGGCCCTGTCTGCGTCCCTCACTGGTGTACAAGCTCTGAGGGCAGTTTTGTTGAAATGAAATGAGAATGAAATAGCACCAACATCACATAAGTCAGTGTTCTCTTTTGCTAAACCTTGCTTAGAACACATAAAAAATAAGTGCTTTCTTACTTGAATTAAGAGATAATTTTATGAATTGTATAACTAGTTGCAGTTCACTTCTGTTCCTGTTTCTTGGTTTCTTCCATTTTCTTAATTTTTTTTTTGTCTTTCAAACAAAATTATTTTTACTGACATTTTTCTCTACCTTCCCCCCCCGCCTTTTTTTGTAGCCGTCATGATCCTTTTTTCCTTTTCCTTTTCTTTCCATTCTTGATTTTTGACAATGAGGCAAGATCAAATGTGGTTTCTTAAAATTCAGTTCATCATTATTGCTCTGCTGTAGATGCTTCTATAGGTGAGATTCTGGTTAACTAGGAGAACTAGGATGTTCTGCTCATTTATGTTCTTTATGTTTACTGAGTTTGTATGTTACTTTAAGCATCTCTGTATATAATTAATACAGGGATTCCCAGGTGGCTCAGTGGTAAAGGAGCCACTCTGCAATGCGGAGACACGGGTTCGAACCCAGAGTCGTTAAGGTCCCCCGGAGAAGCAAACGGCAGCCCTCTCCAGTATTCTTGCCTAGGAAGTCCCATGGAAGGAGCCTGGCGGGCCATAGTCTATGGGGTCACAAAAGAGTCAGACATGACTTAGCGACTAAATAGCAATATAATTACAGTAAGAAAAAACCTTATCCCTGTTTCACCTAGAGCATCAAATAAAATCAAATTAGACAGGCACTTGCAGTCTTAGATATTAATAAATGTGTGCTCTGCACTGCAAAGTATATACGGCTTCCTAGACTTTTGCTCAGTAATTTGTGTACTAGCTTTAAATGATCTGTATGTTTTTAATTGTGGCAAAATATACACAACATCATTCTGACCATTTTTAAGTATATAGTTCAGTAGTGTTAAGTTCATACACGTTGTGCAGTCAATATGTAAAGTTCTTTTTTTATCTTGCAAAACTGAAACTCTGTACTTAAACAACTCTTTATTCTCCTTTTTTTTTTAGTCTATTTTTTATTTTTTGGCTGTGCTGAGTCTTCATTGTGGCATGTGGGCTTCTCTAGTTGTGTACCCAGGCTCTAAAGTGCTTAGGCTCAGTAGCTGAGGCTCAGGCTTAGTTGTCCCGAGACATGTGGGATTTAGTTCCCGACCAGTGATCGGACACACATCCCCTGCATTGGAAGGCTCTGGACCACTAGGGAAACCTCATTCTCCTTGCTTTAAAAAGAAGAAGGAAAAAAAATGACATGGTATGAGTATGTGTTCATGTCAGTAAATATATGTGTACACGTTTATCTTAATCAGTTTTTTAAAAAGATAGCAAGATCCATGAAGCAAAAGTTAGGTGATACAACTGTGGTATTCAGTGAAAACAAGTCTTCCTGCTGTCCCCAGCCACCTATACCCTCTCCTAGAAGTAACTGCCTTTTCCAGTTTCTTTGAACATTGTTTTTACATTTTGTTCAGCTTATGTACCTTAATGTCATTGTTCTTAATTTTTTTTTTTAATGTAAAAGCACTGAGATGAGCATCCTTACAGCTAAAACTTGAAGCACTTTAATTAACTTCTTAGGATAATCCCTTAAAGAAGTATTTTTGGGTCAAAAGGCATACATATTTTAAAGGCTTTTGATATCAAATTCCCTGCAGAAGTGTTGTACCATTTTTTCTATGCCACTAAAAGCATATTTGGAAGAATTATTTTACTAATTGATCCTTAAGACCTTAGGAACAAAGTTAACTGTGCCTCTGTTTGCTGAAACCCAATTCTGTATAGAAGTGATTTTTACCACCTGCTCTCTTCCTTCCGAAAGGTTCTCTTAGATGTTCTCTTGGATACTTGAAAGTGGAGATGACAGAATCGACTAATGTGTCATTGAAACGGGGGTCCGTTGCCATCGAAGACGATGACCGTGTGGCCTCAGCCGAGGAGGCCAAGAGACAGAAGGTCTCAGAGTGCTGCTCAGCCACAGGTCAAGACGGGCGAGAGAACAGCTCTCTACCCAGCAGCGAAAAGGTGCCTGGGCCTCCCGAAACTGCTGGACAGGGTAAAAAGACCTCTGAAGTTCCATCAGAGGAAGAGGAGGAGGAAGATGGCCTCTCAGAGGAGGGCGAGGAGGAGGAGGAAGTGGAGAGCTTTGCAGACATGATGAAGCACGGGCTGTCTGAGCTGGATGTGGGCATCTCCAAGTTCGTCAGCTCTCACCAGGGATTCTCAGGGATCTTAAAAGAAAGGTTCGTTTTGTTTTCCTATCAAGTTATTTTTGTTTTATTAACTCTTTACTTTAAAGAGAAATCAGTCTGTTCTTCGACTTGGCATTCTGTCCCCAAGGATTTTTCACACCAGTGGTCAGTCAGGGATAGGATGAAGGAAAGCTGCCCAAATGAGTAAATGAAACTATTTGAATATAAAATGAGTAAAAAATAGCAGTTTCCCTGTGGCATGCTTTGTTAGTATGTGAATGGGTATTTCCTTAAAATAAATTACTTTCAATGGTAATTAAATGGTTTCTAGTTTTCCCTTGAATTGGTCTTAAAATCTTAAACTCTTTTACCTGAATGGGCCACATTAACAGGAGAAAGAAGGTGGTCTTTGTAGCCAGGTGGATCTGGATGTGAATGTAGTTCAGCCACTTGATAGTTACTTAACTCCTCTGAGCCTCAGAATCCCTGTCTGAAAAATGGGTCATGCTACCTGGGAATAGTTAATAGGACTTTAAATAATGCATGTAAAGTATTTAGCTTAAAGGTAAGCTTCAGGGTGGCCCAAGGTAGATACACTGGCTTACAATTTAATTAAATTTGCTGTGTTTCATGATTCACTTTAGAATGACCTATATAACCATAGGGCAACATTAATAAGCTTTGATCTAGGCATTTTTCTGGAAGAATATTCTAGAAGCCCAGAAGGTCTTTTCCGTACCTCGTACCAGGCCAAGGTGTGGATTAGACTTCATCATGAAACCAGAAAAAATAACTACATGACTTTGCACTGAAAGTTTTTATTTTTAATACCTGTTTTGCACAATAATAAGGCTTACTGTTGACAAACTTTCTCCTAAAATTAATAGGCAGCAAAATGTTAATGCTCTGATTTTCTTTTCCTCAGATACTCTGACTTCGTTGTTCACGAAATAGGAAGAGATGGACGAATCAGCCATTTGAGTGACTTGTCTGTCCCAGTAGATGAAGAGGTAGGAACAGCTCTCTAGCAAAAGTCACCTTCTGTATAAAAATAATATTTCCTGGAGATCATAGAAATACAGAGCTTTGACAGCCTCACATTCTGTGTGTGACTCACTGGGAGTTCTCATGGTTATTTTAAAGGATCCTTCAGAAGATGTATTTACAGTTTTAACAGCTGAAGAAAAGCAGCGTTTAGAAGAGCTCCAGCTTTTTAAAAATAAGGAAACCAGTGTTGCCATTGAGGTAAGTAGTTCAGAAACGTGTGAAAAGTTTTTCTAAGGTTTTCATTGCGTCTTTTTGGGTGGATGTTTAATAAGTGTCTTCTGGAAGAATTACAGTAGTTAACAAAAGGATGGACTTGCCCTATTTGATATAAAAGAGCACTGTGTTAAAAAATGTTTTTTATCAGTGACAGGTAACAAGTATTCAGATAAACTATGGCCAAAAGAAAAGAAGTTATATTTTTGCTTTAAAAAATTTTTTTTACATGACCACAAATCGACAAAAAAATCTGCTATTTGGAATTGCAGAGTGACCATTGTATCACAGTGTCTGCTGCAAAGGACTGTCACAGCCTGACAGTGTGGTCCTGACAGGGAGGCCATGACCCCAGCTCCAAAGGCTTCCTGGTCTCAAATGGAGCACTGGAAGGGAGGGGAATTGGGGGAAGGAGGTAAGGGAGTGTTGCTTTGCTTATCTTGAGACTACTTCTGTTCATAGAAAAAAAGGGCTCAGCTACCAAGTAGAACAGTAAATGCCTTTTTAAAAGCTGTTTGTTACGGAGGTTTTACTCTTTTCAGTTAGTGCTGTCGCTGGTGGCTCAGCAGTAAAGAATCTGCTTGCAATGCAGGAGACGTGGGTTCAGTCCTTGGCTTGGGAAGATCCCCTGGAGAAGGAAATGGAAATGGTAACCCACTCCAGTATTCTTGCCTGGAGAATTCCATGGACAGAGGGGCCTGGTGGGCTACAGTGCACAAGGTCACAAGAGTTGGACATGACTTAACAACTAAACTACCACCACCATGGTCCTGTCCAGTGAAATTGTGATGCGAGACTTGTTTTTAATATCACATCTTCAAAAAATGTAAAAACAAACAGGCAAATAATTTTGATGATATATTTTATTTGCCCTACTATTATCAAAATATTTAAATATATAATCAGTATTTTCAGAATTACTAATGACATGTTTTATTTTCTTTTTTTCCTACTAAGTCTTCAGAATCCTGTGTCACTTTATACTGGTAGCACATCTCATTTCAGACTTGCCATGTTTCAAGTGCTCAGTTGCCGTGTATGGCTGGTGGTCACCATAAGGGACACAGCAGTTCTAGGTGATCTCTGTAGCAAAGAAAATACATTACAAGATTCTAAGAATCTTATAGCATAAGACTTAGAATTGTAAGTTTGTGTTAAATTCATCTTGTACTATATTTTGGTGACTTACTGGATTTTAGGTTGTCTGAAATGGCCACTTCCATTGCTCCCAGGAAAAAAGAGTTTACTGTAACTTCTCAGAATTTTGGGGGATTCCTTCATGGCTCAGACGGTAGAGAATCTGCCTGCAACATGGAAGACCTGAGTTCAATCTGTGGGTTAGGAAGATCCCCTGGAGAAGAAAATGGCAACCCACTCTAGTATTCTTGCCTGGAAAATCCCATGGACAGAGGAGCCTGGCAGGCAAAGTCCATAGGGTCACAAAGAGTCGGACACTACTGAGCAATGTCACTTTCACTTTTTTCACTTTCAGAATTTATTATTTGCCTTCAACCCTCATCTCCTCTTCTCCCCACCTAAATTTCTCAGATGTACTATTAAAATTGTAGAGCTCTTTAATGACTGAATTTACTCATAGACAAAATAGTTAACAATGCTGAGAAGAAAATTCCCAAGAATTGGTTTTGAGAGCACTCTAGGAGGATGGTCCAGGCAGTGCAGTAATATATTATCTCTATAATATGCTTTTTCCTACAGAGATGGCAAGATTTATTATCACCTTAAAAATTATAGTTATGCCATCTACTGAAAGATTTTACCTTAAAGATCATGAACCGTGGGTAGGTGTCCTCATCTATAAAATAGGATAAACTTTCTGAATTTTTGAGATCTGAATATGTATTCACTCATATATACAAACTATGGTTCCATCTCATTGCTTCCAGTGAATTCTAGATCTAGACTCAGGTTTGTTTTTTTTTTTTTGGCTGTGTCACTCAACTTGTTCCCCCATCAGGTATCGAACCTGCAGAGTCCTAACCACTGGACCACCAGGGATTCCCCAAGACTCACTTTTTGATATGAAAAATCTCTTATCTATATTATAATGTATTTTTCTTTTACATACATATTCATTTATATTTTTTATTTTGCTAGAATACTCTTAGGTTTAGCTAGTAGTAGTTATATTGCATCTTATTAGCTTGCAGGTTACAGTCCATCAATGGGTCATGAAATTAGTGTGCTGTATCTTAACCAACATTATTTTTTTTTCATTGCAGTGTTGTTATTTTCTGGTGTACAGCAAAGTGATTCAGTTTTTATATATATATATATATATATTTTTTTTTTTCTTTTTTCATATTCCTTCTCATTAGGTTGGTTTGTTTCTGTGTGTTTTTGGCCTCACTGTGGCCTATGGGATCTTAGTTTCCCCATCCAGGGATTGAACCCTACTGCCTACTGCAGTAGGAGCATGGAGTCCTCACCATTGGACGCCAGGGAATCCCCTCCATTAAGGTTTATTATAAGATATTGAATATGTTAGTTCCCTGTGCTATACAGTAGGACCTTGTTTTTTATGTTTTTGTATATAGTAGTTTGTATCTGTTAATGACAAACTCCTAATTTATTCCTCTCCCACCCTCTTTCTCCTTTGGTTACCTTTAGTTTGTTCTCTGTGTCTGTCAGTATGTTTCTGTTTTGTAAATAAGTTCATTTGTACCATATTTTAGACTCCATGTATAAGGTATATCCTATTTTATTTGTCTTTCTCTTTCTGACTTACTTGGTTTAGGGTACGTATCTCTAGGTCCATCCATGTTGCTGCAGATGGCATTATTTCATTCTTTATGGCTGAGTAGTATTCCATTGTATAAATACCTCATCTTTATCCATTCATAGATACTTCGGTTGTTTTCATGTCTTGGCTATTATAAATAGTGCTGCCATAAACATGTATCTTTTCAAATTATAGTTTTGTCCAAATATATGTCCAGGAGTGGGATGGCTGGTTCATATGGTAATTCTATTTTTAGTTTCTTGAGGAACCTTCAGATTATTCTGAATAGTGCCTGTACCATTTACATTCCCACCAACCGTCTAAGAGTGTTTCCTTTTCTCCATACCCTTTGCAGCATTTATTTGTACACTTTTTAATGATGACCATTCTGAGCGGTGTGAGGTGGTACCTCATTGTAGTTTTGTTTTGCATTTCTCTAATAATTAGCGGTGTTGAGCATCTTTTCACATGTCTGTTATCTTCTTTGGATAAATGGCCATTTGGATCTTCTGCCCAATTTTTGATTGGGTTTTTTCTTTGTTTGTTTTTATATTGAGTTGTATGAGCTGTTTATATTTTGGGAGTGAGTCTGTTGTCAGTCACATCAAATGTTTTCTCACAGTTGGTAGATTGTCTTCATTTTTGTTGATGGTTTTCTTTGCTGTTCAAAAGCTTGTAAGTTTGATTAGGTTCCATTTGTTTAGTTTTGCTTTTGTTTGTTTTCTGTACCTACTTTGGTAAGAGTTTATATCATGAATGGATGTTAAATTTTATCAAATACTTCTTATGCTTCTATTGAGATGATCATATGGTTTTGTCTTTTGTTGATGTGGTGTATCACATTAATTTTCTTTTTTTTTTTTTTTTGGCTGTAGCATGTGGGCTCTTAGTTTCCCTACCAGAGATCAAACCTGTGCCCCGCTGCGGTGAAAGCAGAGTCTTAACCATTGGACTGCCAGGGAAAGTCCCTCACATTGATTGATTTGCATGTGTTGAGCCATCCTTGTGACCCTGGGATGAATCCAACTGGATTATAGTATATAGTCTTTTTTATGTGTTGTTAGATTCGGCTTGCTAATTTGTTAAAATTTTTTACATCAAAGATAATATTTTTCTTTATAATGAATGTCTTTGGTTTTGGTATGGGATGATGACTTCTTAAAATGACTTTGAGACTGTTCCCTCCTCTTAAGAGTTTGAGAAGGATCAAGTGTAAGTTTCTGTTTGTATGCTTGATGGAATTCCCCAGTGAAGCCATCTGGTCTTGGACCTTTGTTTGCAGAGAGTATTTTATTACAGATTCTGTTTCATTTCTAGTGCTCCGTCTGTTCAAATTATCTGTTTCTTCCTGATTGAGTTTTGGTGGACTGTATGTTCTTGAAACTCATCCATTTTTTCTAGATTGGTGGAGAAACTTTATTGGCATATAGTTGTTCACAGTATTCTCTTATGGATTTCTGTATTTCCGTGTTGTTGGTTGTTATTTCTCCTCTTTCATTTCTTATTTTATTTGTAATGCCTGGCCAGAGATTTGTCGATTTTTGTTTACTTCTTCAGAGAAACTGTTCTTGCTAACCAACATTTTTATAACGTAATGAAATAGGAAATAACAGTGTATTGCACATTATAAGGGTTAAGTACTGTTCTGTATATTTTTTTAAGATTTTTAATAAGGTGCATACACATATTAATATATTGGAGAAGGAAATGGCAGCACAGTCCATTATTCTTGCCTGGAGAATCCCATGGACAGAGGAGCCTAGCAGGCTACAGTCCATGGGGTCACAAGAGTCAGACATGACTTAGCAACTAACCCATCATATATTAATATATATTGCTGGATACTGAATCCAGGTATGAAATGTATTTCTCAGTGTAAGATACATTCAGAAATTGAAAAACAGTTGTATAACTAGTAAGTTTACATTTTCTTGATGTAGATTTTTCTCTTTTAGTAAACAAATATACTGAATTGTCGTTATAAAGTTCCTCAGTATAGGGCAGGGTTCATTAGACGCAGGAGTAGATTAGATTGCATTATTCAGGGAATTGAGTTTCTGATATCCCCAAACACACAGCTCACCTGCTTTTCCATCTGTGAGTCCTGAGGTGTTCATTATTTAGCTGAGTCCATGAAAGAGAGCATCTGTGATGGGTGACTGTGGAATTGGATGGCCTGGAATTCACATCTGCCTCTGCTCCCCTCCAAATATATAATCTTAACTTCTCTCAGCCTCACTTTCCTCATCTCTAATGTGCTGGTGGCTTGATAGGGAACTGATGGGGATTAAATTATGACAGTGATTGTAAAATGATTGGTAACAGTACCTGGCAGCTGGACAGACTCAACAAATGGATTTTTAGAATATGCAGTTTGTAAAGGTCTAAAAGATTTCTGATATAAAAGGCACCTAAATATCCTTCAACAGATGAATGGGTAAGTAAGATGTAGTACATATACATATGCTGGGATCCTACTTAGCCGTAAAAAAGAATGAAATAATATGCAACATGGAGGGATCTACTAAGGGAAGTAAGACAGAGAAAGATAAATACTATGTGATACCACTTACATGTAGTCTAAAATATGATACAAATGAATTATTTGCAAAACAGAAACAGACTCACAGATATAGAGAACAAATTTAAGGTTACCAAAGGAGAAAGGGGTGAGGGACTAATAAATTAGGAATTTGGGATTAACTGATACAAACTAGTATATGTATAGTAAACAATAAAGACCTACCATATACTACAGGGAGCTATCTATATTTAATATCTTGTAATTATATATGTGTAATTGAATCACTTTCCTCTACACCTGAAACATTATAAATCAACTATACTTCAATAAAGAAATAACTAAAGAAAAAAAAGACTTCTGAAATAGTGCCCTTCTACTTTGGTTACTTTATATCATTATTAAGATAAGTAGTGTTTTTACTAATTCTTTAGTATTATTTCCTTTATTTAATGTTTGTTAAATTAGTATCATTATCTATGTTTTTAATAGGTTATTGAGGACACCAAAGAGAAAAGAACCATCATCCATCAAGCGATTAAATCTCTGTTTCCAGGATTAGAGACAAAAACAGAAGACAGAGAGGGGAAGAAATATATAGTAGCCTATCATGCCGCTGGAAAAAAGGCTCTGGCAAGTAAGTGGGCTTGTGACCTGGCGTTTCTTCTGCCTCCTCATTCTCCCTGCCTGTTCACACTCAAGGGTCATTTTGCAGTTGTTCAGAGAAGGATATTGACCGTATCATTCCTTCAAAGAAGGTGAACAGTCTTTCAGATGCTAGAGCAATCCTGCATCTGAAATCTCAATCACAATCACACAATCGGGTGTCTGGTAAAGGGGGCAGTAGGTCTTACATGTGAGTACGGATTTGCTGTAATAACAGTGGTGCCAGAGAGAGAGTCTTATGTAATTTAATACGTCCCCTGAAGAGCCGGGCAGGCTGAGTGGTAACTCAAGAAGAAGACAGAAGAATATTGCTCATTCTGTCCTCTTAATGGAGGTAAGAAAGCTTTCAGATGAACAGAAACTGCCTGGCACCTCTCCCAGTGGCATATTCTGCAAAGTCCCTGTATCGACAGTGCCGCTGCTTTCCACCCGTGAGTACCTTCGTGACTACACACAAAAAACACGGAGTATAGAGAAAACCACCCCTTCACCCAAGCCCATGTTTCCCTGAGTAGCATTCGTCTGAAGTGGGTGTGTTGTCTGTGAATCCTGTTTCTTTATGTTCTCTGTTCTACAGCCATGAAAATAACTTTGCATATAACCTTAAGAAATATTGGATGATAATTTTTCTTCTTTTATCTGTCAGATCAGTAGATAAAATTTTTATGAAAACTACAAAAGGAAAAATTGTTTGCTCACCTCTTCCCCTACCATTGATGAGGCCTGTTAGTGAAGAGTTACTTCTAGATATATTTGTTGGAGTAAAACTCCACAATTGTTATATAACAGAAGACTGTTCAAACCATCAGTGCTTTGTCAGTATTCTCTTGGGATAATGCTGTGAGTGGATGAAGCCTTAATTGTGTATAACTGTGGTTCTAGTGAAGGGAGAGGATGTGAGAAAAACGGGAGCAGAAATAAGAGTTAGCGGTGCCTGAGAAAATCATGTCGTCGAGTCAGTAGATCTGGATAGTGATGTAGAAGTGAGAATCCTTGAGCAGTGGGGAGGAGAAGGTGGCGGTTGGAGGTGACTTCTCAGCAGCTAACCAGAAAGGGCAGTGAGAGGATGTGTTCTGGGACTGCTTGAGGGCATGAGTTGTTAATCACTTCTCAGTTCAGAGGCTGATGGCTTGAGTGCCATGTTTCTTTGATGTCTGAGTGACAGTATAAAATATCACCTTGACAGCTGTTCTGCAGCCAGCGTTGTCCAGGAGAATTAAGCCCAGTGGGGAGTGACATGAGTGACTGTGTTTTTTCCATTCTCCCACAAGTGGTATGTAGCTAGTAACTTATCTAGCAGTGGAGGAGAGAAGGTGAATTCCTACCTAGATGATTTGCTGCATTCAGTCTTAATTCTCTCCAGGAACCCAGGTTGAGAAGGGCTGCTGTGGAGATGTTCCTTGGAGAGAGGCAGTCCTCATCGGTCAGCCACCTTTTTGCAAAGGCAGGAGGAAGAGGCAGGGTCTTGTTCTGACAACTGTGGTCCTGAGGAAGCAGGTTGGAAAAGGAGAAGGCTGTTTCTCTCAGACTGGTTGCTTCTTGGAAATGGTTGGTCCTCCTTGGAGGCAGCCAAGTTTTGTGATCTTGGTATTTGCAGGCCACAGTGGCCGGCAGTTTGCCCCTCAAGTGAGTGGTGCCGGATCTCTGGTGTTGTGTGTTTATCCACCTTTTCTGTGCTTACGCCATGCCATACCTTCCTTTTTTCGCCCCCTCCAAATAAAAAATTTCCTTAAGGTTTTCCAAATGAGGTACTGAGCTCTGTGACATGAACCACCCCTTTCCCTTCTCATGTCTTCAATAAAATATTAATTTCTCACTATAAAAAAGAAGCATGAGGGCAGATCCAGTTGAATCAGTGTGTGGACGCAGATCTGGCCCTTTTGGGCATGACGGGCTGTGGCGTTTATTCAGAGATGGACTAGAGGCCTGCTCTCTGCGTGTTCTCTGCCACCTCCTCAGAGGCCCGACTGGCACCAGAGCGCCCGTGAGCATCTCCAGGTCTGGCCCCACCTGCGAGCTGGGGGCCACCTCAAGTAAGCAACTCTGGGAACGTAGGGAGAGCTGGTGTCTGGAGACGGCAGTTCTTGCCTATACAGACAGAACCCAGAAACAGTGACAGCTCATTTTCCTAGGGCACCTTGCCTGGCATTTGAACAGATTAGCTTTTAAAGCCTCATTGCAAAGCTAAGTTGGAATGTTTTGAGCTCCCTTACTACCAAACCCTGACATCAGTTGTTATTGGTGGGTCATGCACCATGTAGCAGGTTTGCAACATTCTTAACCTCAGAGCCACGCAGCCTAAAAACAGGTGTGATAGACTCTAAATCATGATGGCCAAACACAAATTACTGATACCAGCTCTTTTAACCCTAATGTTATTTGGTGTGTTAATCCAACCTGATAGACAGGGCACATTGATTTATCTACCAAAGCATACTTATGGTATTTTTCTGAAAATACTATATAATTATCATGGACCGTGTACTCAGGGAAATGAACTTATATTTTGAGATAAACAGTGTACATATCCAAAAAACTTTTTAAAGACTTAAGTTAAAAATTTTTTTCCACCATGTACTATGTAGAGATAATCCATTCTATGTGAAATTAATGGTTTCCAGGGGGCATACCTGTATCTAGGAATCTGCAGAGACTAAGGAGGAAGAGCTAGACAGATAAAAAGTTCATTTTCTGGGAGAGACTGGTGTTAAGGAATCCATAGGAAGAGGGGATTTCAGTGATGGAGTGGTTGGCCATGGAAAATATTACAGACAGGTCCAACAAGATAAGAACTCTGAAACACGTCCACCAATTTTTAGGATCTTGGGGATCATTGGTGTCTTTTCCAGAGCAGTTGTAGTGGAGTGATTGGAAACCAGTTCACACAGTAGGTTAGGATAGAAGATAGTAAATCCACCATAAAGAGAAGGACAAAGAAAGGGAATATGCTTAAGGAGAGGGAGACATAGGTTTGACTGGAATGCAAGAGCCCTGAGCATACTGATATATTGAAGGGGAGGAGCTGATGGAGAGGGAGCTGGGTGATGGTGGCTGGAGCAGGACCCCAGAGTAAGCTGCAGGGTGGGTGTGCGGGGGTGCAGCAGGGGAAATTGTCTTGAACGAGAAGGAAAGAATGTTCTGCATGCTACCCATCCTGTCGTCTTTCTTGAGCTACAAATGTTTTTCCTTCTTTATTCATGTGGATCTCTGCTCAATACATGAATCTTCCTGAATGTAGTTTTCTTTTTTTATCTGGATTCTGTTTCTCCTCTCCCTGGGGCTGCAGTATCAGACCATCAGAAGGTTGCTTCCAATCCTGAGAATTCGTTGCTTTCGCATTTTAAATCAGCGTGTCTCAAAAATGTGTGAAAGTTATTTTAAATTAACTTAAACTGCTATCTAGCATTCCAAGGATTTGGAGTTTTATAAAGTCAAGCAAATCGCCCAAAGGAAATTGAGACTCACTGATTTTCCATTTTTCAAAACATTTCCAGCTAATCAATACATATGCTTATTAACAGTTTGTGTGCTGAGTGCACTTGGAAAAAGAATCCTTGTATGTTATTTACAGAGGAGATAATTGAATGCATGCTCACTGCTTGGATTTGCTAATAAGATGCATGTTTGTGAGCCAAACTCATATCGGTTGTCATGGTTTCTCGTAAGGTGTAATAGCACTTAGTGTTTTAGTCTTGTGGTTTCATTTGTTTCTTGTCACTAAGTGTACCAATGGGTAGTTAGAGGAAAATGTAGCTTACACTTCATCAGCTTTTAGCACAAATATTTCAACTTTTTATTATGGACATTTTCAAACATGCAGACAAGTAAAGGAAGTAGTATATTGAGCCCCTGTGTACCCATCAACCATCTTCAGTATTATTAACATTTTGTTGTTGAATCTGTTCCTCCCACTTTCTTTCCCTTGTTGAGGTGGTGTTTTTTTTTTTCATTTATTTTTATTAGTTGGAGGCAAATTACTTTACAATATTGTAGTGGTTTTTGTCATACATTGACATGAATCAGCCATGGATTTACATGTATTCCCCATCCCAATCCCCCCTCTCACCTCCCTCTCCACCTGATTCCTCTGGGTCTTCCCAGTGCACCAGGCCCGAGGTGTTTTTAAAGAAAGTAGTATGTAGTACTTCATTCCACACATAAATACTTCAGCATGTATCTGATAGAAAAGGACTAGAGCCCTAAACCATTATCACCTCCCGACAATATCAGTAATAATTTCTTAATATCTCATACCCAGTGCATGTTCAGTTTTTCCCTGATTATCTCAGAAATGCGTTTTGCATACAGAGGACTCATTCAAATCATGATACAGACAAGGTCAGAACATTGCATTTGACGGATGTCTCTTCAACCTCTTTTTAAATCAATTGGTTTAAAAAGTGTTTTCCATAATTTTTGCATTTTTTTTTAATAAAATCAGTGCAGGAAATTCATGAACACAGAAAAGCACAATACAAAGCAGTCATCACTTGCAGCCTCAACAACCAAAAGATAATTAGGAATAGTGTTCTGGTACACGTCCTCCCATGTTTAAGAAAACAGACCTCTGGATGGGGAGGCATTTTGCATCCAGTCTCACACCTTTTGCTATGTCCTGTGGGCACAGACTGCAGCTTTGAGGATCAATGAACAGGCCACTGTGAGGGCATTGAGACAGGGAGGCTTGAACCTGTTGGTGAGTTTTCTGCTTGTTCACTGTTTGCCTCTGCGACATTCCATTGTTAATGTCTTAAATCGCTGTCAACCCACCACATAACCACCAGATGCTGTAGGAGTTCCTCGGTAGCAACTTCCCATGCGATCATTTGCATGTTCACTTCTAAAGCACTTTAATGTTATTATAAATTAAATACTGCTCTCTTGTGCTCTTTATGCTGTGCATTTGGACAGAGGTCAGAACTGCAGCAGGTAAGAGCGGTTGGTGTTTCATGTAGGTAAAATGAAATGCCAATGATTTTTGTCACAAGTACTAAGTAGAGACAACTTTGCTTAAATGGAGGGAGCTGGAAGGAAAACCAAAAATAGTATCCCTGTTCACAATTTCCTGAGGATGAGTTGTAAGGAATTCACACCAAGAACCAAAGAAATAACTTGCAGTGCTTTTTCTGTAATACTTTAAGCATACATGCTGTGGCAGTTTTCCAAATGACTTATTGGTCAGGTTGTTCTATGCATTGTAGCTTACATAACTAACCTGTCAAGCAATGCTTTTTGCCTTGGCAAAGGCAGGTGTATAAGTAACTTTAGTACCAGGAGTTTCTTGTGTCTCTAAAGATGAAGAATTCATGAGTTCATGCTCAAGGGTTATTTTAGGCACAAAGAAAAAGGAACATTTCTAAAAGACAAAGACTTTTCTAGGGATTTTGTAAAATATTTTTTCACAGTCTGTTTCTTTCAATGAGTTACAGAAATGAAGTGAGTTAAATGCATTGTCAAAGCAGCTGCATCTGTGTGTCACATGAGACTCATGGACATTCTTGTACAACATCTGGGAAGTGCAATTGTGGCTTACACATTTCTCCCAAAGTGTTGGTTTTTCAGAACACCTTTCAGCAATGAAGTCTAAATCTTAACGTTATTTGAATAGATGTTTCTAGTAGTATAATTTAGATGTTTAAAAGAACAGCTATAAAGTCAGATCTCCAAAGTCTTGAAATGTTTGTCAGTTTCTGAAAAGTTGAGCAGTTGAAGTAGCAGTGGTTCAGACTTTTAATTTTTGAAGTCTCCTCTTGCCCGAAGATTGACAGTTAGGTATTGAATGCCAGCTGCTCTCTCTGTCTGGAGACCTTTGTAAATGACCTAGTGTTACCTAAACTTCTGTGACAGAAGTGGCCTTTGGAAAGTCTCACCATGTCACCGAGCCAGCTTTTTGTGGGAACACCTCACTGGTGAGACACGGCAAGGTTTATGGGTTCCTGCATGACTGCTGGTGCCCCCCTGGTCTGCTTACGTTCTGGAGAGCCCGTTGATCCCTTTTCAGACACCTGTTTATCAACTAAACCAGAGGATGGATGGTTGAACTCCTCTGTGTTTCTCTATGTGAAGATTGCTTATTAGGTTTAATCACTTGTCATATGACCTGTACTTCTTGCTTTTGATTTCAAATAAAGACAGATAAGTATGCAATCAGAGAGTTTAATAATGCCTGTGATCCACATGGCTATAACCATTTAACCTGTGTTTCTTGTCAGTCTGGATCTGATTTCTCACTCAAGGACTCTAGCAAAAATGATCTTGTAGAGTTTCATGAGGAAAAACTCAGCTAACGTTTATTATGGTGTACATAACATTTAACTTTTTTTTTAAGATCCAAGGAAACATTCTTGGCCAAAATCTAGGGGAAGTTACTGTCACTTTGTACTGTACAAGGAAAACAAAGACACCATGGATGCTATTAATCTGTTGTCCAAATATTTAAGGTTAGTATCTTGTTCTTGTGCGTATGCAACATCAAAACACAGAAACATTTTTTCTTCTTTCCATGCTGATGAAAAGGGAATGGGAAAATAGGCAAACAGGTAGCAAATGTACCTCCCAGTTACAGGCTTTTTTATTGTTTTGGCTGTGCCTTGTGGGATCCTAGTTCCCCAACCAGGGTTTGAAACTGGGCAACAGCAGTGAAAGTCCTGAGTCCTAACCACTGGACGGCCAGGGAATTCCCAATTTTAGTTTTTGTAGACAATAGTTGAATTAATATTTTTTACCCTCCTTGCATATGATCAGTGATTCAAAATGACAATTCTCTAAGTAAATGGTTACATATAGTAGACAGTTACTAGTCCATCCGGCTACAGTAAAAATTAACTGGACTTCCCTGCTGATCCAGTGGTTAAGAATCCGCCTGCCATTGTAGGGGACTCAGGTTTGATCGCTGTCCAGGAAGATCCCACATGCCACAGAGCAACTAAGCCCCTGCACCTCAGCCTCAACTACTGAGCCTGGGCTCTAGAGCCCAGGAGCTGCAGCTCCTGAGCCCGAGTGCTGCTGCTACTGAAGCCCAACTCCCTAGAGCCCATGCTCTGCAGTAAGAGGCCACCGCAGGCAGAAGCCTGCACACCACCGCCAGAAAGTAGCCCCTGCTCACAGCAACTAGGGAGTGCACACTTGCAGCAGTGAAGACCCAGCACAGCCAGAAATAAATATTTAGGGGAAAAAAAGAAAAGGTAACTGTCTCCCCTGAAAACTCATAACTTTGATGTGGTTGCAGAGGTCTGCTGCTAAATCTGAGTTCTGAACTCCCTAGAGAGATCAACTGGATTGGAAACCTGAGACCAGTCAGATTTTCTCATAGGAATGCAAACGTAATAGAATTTGGGTCTCTGAGGATGGGCCAGGTTGCCGTTTTATTTTCAGAAATGGATTCAGGTACCAGAGCAAATCTGTACACAATGAGAATGTACTTTCTGATATGTATTTAACCTGGTTTAAACATAGTACATACTGTGTTAGTTTGCTCTGACTGCCTTAACAACATACTGTGAAGTGAGTAGCTTCAAGAACAGCCATTGTTTTCCTAAGCTGTGGTGGCTAGATGCCCCAAGCTGAGGGTGCTGGCAGGTTTGGTTGTTGGCAGAGGCCTTTCCGCGGCTTGCAGGTGGCCACCTCCTCTGTGCCCTCCCGTGGTCTTGCCTCTGAGTGTGTGTGTCCCAGAGTCCTCTGTGAGTCCAGGTTTCCTCCTCTTAGACTAGGATACAAGTCTAATTGAATGAGGGCCTCGTTTTAACTTAATAACCTCTTTTATGGCCCTGGCTCCAAATCCTGTTGGATTCGGAGCTACCGGGAGATAGCCTCAACACAGAAATTTTAGGGGAACACAGTTCATCCCATAAGACACAGTACCTAATAAAGCAGCATTTTATTTACTGCTAGCTTTCTCTCTTGCCTTGTCTGTCCCTGAACCCTGGGGAGAAGACAATTCCAATGAGAGAGGAAACGGTTGGGAAGGGAGCTCCTCTGAGATCTGGATTGCTCAGAGTTCAAAAATCCTTCCTGTTTCTCTCCTATTCATGTAGAGCAGTTTTTATTAAATTCTTCTTAGTTATCTGGCTTACTTGTATCTTCATAATAAAACTATTCTGTTCCTTGTTGTAGCATTTGGCTTTATACAAAGAAATAGCATGTATTTATGGAAAATTCATAGAACTATTAACTTTTGGAAATTGAAAATATGAAATTTTTGAAGTGATACATGATACATCTAGGATGGATAGTTCTTTACCTTCAATTATATAATTGTATGAATTGCATGAAATCAGCAGGAAGCGCATTACTTCCTTTTCTGACACATTCCAAGCCACACAGAGATAAGGAGGGAGTTGTCCAGGCATCATTTAGTTTCTTAGCTTTTAAGAAACACTAATTTATGTTTTCCTGGGTATATTTTTAAATAAAGTTTCTCCTTACTTTTCTTTTACTCTGTCACTATTTTAAGTATATTTATTTTAAATCTTAAATTATGAGAAGCGTGATTTCCTAACGGTATGCGGCTTTGTATGGTTTTGTTTTTGTCTCATCAGGGTCAAGCCAAACATATTCTCCTACATGGGAACCAAAGATAAAAGGGCCATAACCGTTCAGGAGATTGCCGTTCTCAAGTAAGTGGGAGTACATACTGGGGTTCGTTCTGTAAAAATCCCAGCACTGTATTTCCAAGTTTGAGGATTTGCTTTGTGGGGTTTACCTCTTCTATCTTTAGATAGTGCCTCTGTCTATTCAAAAAACTTGCTTTTCTATTTGTTTCTTTTCTTCTTTCTTATCTGCATTCCCCAATGTTTTCGCAGCAAGCTGGTATTGTTTATGTAATTTTTAAAGGATTTGTGTGGTAGAACCAAGAGAATATGTGCTTCTCTTATTCATTGATTGTTAAATATAAGTTACTTAAAATTTAATTACAGAACAGTGAATGAGCTCTTTTGTTATACACTGCAGATCTGCAGAGGAAAAAGGTGGTCTTTGCTTTTGAAGTAATTATAATGGAGCAGACAGGTAAATCAGAACTTACACAGTGATATAAATGCTAAAATAGAGGTGTATTTGGGGTGTTAGGGTAGACCTGATAACAACGTATGGCACTCACTGTGGGGGGCAGGCCAGGGAGGCTTTCACAGAAAATGGGACGCTCGAGGGTTTTTTCTTTGTTGAGTTTGGCTGTGCCACTCAGCTTGTGAGATCCTAGCTCCCCAACCAGGGACCAAACCCAAGCCCTCAGCGGTGGAAATGTAGGGTCTAACCACGGGACCACCAGGGAATTCCCTGGATGCTCGAGCTTTAATCTAGACTGGGCTTCTCTGCCTCTTGACTGCTGACACTTTGGGCTGGATAACTCTTGCTGATGGGGCCATACTGTGAGCGCTAGGATGTCCAGCCGCAGCCCTGGTCTCTCTCTGCCACACGACTTCAATAGCTCTCCCCCTGTTCGTGTCAGCACTGCGACAGACTAAAGTCTCCAGACCTGGCTAAGTGTTTCTCGAAGAGCAGAATAGCCCTGGTTGAGAAACACTGGTCTAGATTCTAGAAGGACGGGTGGCCAGACAGACTCAGGTGTCCATCCTCTATTCTAGAAAGCTGGGTGGTCAGACAGGCTCAGGTGTCCACGTTTACATACCCCTGAGGTGAGGGATGGTGGGAGGGAGAAGTAACGGGGCAGGAGGAAATGGGGGTTGCAAATGGTTGTCATGAGTGCAATGATGGTTTCACAAGCTTATTCACGTGTTAAAACTTGTACATTTTGTATATGTACAGTTTATTGTTGTTGTTCAGTCACCCAGTCCTGTCTGACTCTTTCTGACCCCATGGACTGCAGCACCTCAGGCCTCCCTGTCCCTCACCATCTCCTGAAGTATTCTCTAGTCCATGTCCATTGCATCAGTGATGCCATTCAGTCATCTCCTCCTCTGATGCCCTCTTCTCCTTCTGCCCTCAGTCTTTCCCAGCATCAGGGACTTTTCTCATGAGTCGGCTGTTCTCATCAGATGACCAGAATACTGGAGCTTCAGCTTCAGCATCAGTCCTTCCTACAAGTTTTCAGGGTTGATTTCCTTTAGGATTGATTGACTGGTTTGATCTCCTTGCTGTCCAAGGGATTTTCAGGAGTATTCTCCAGCACCACAGTTTGAAGGCGTCAGTTCTTTCGTGTTCTGCCTTTACTGTCCAACTCTCACAACCATATGTGACCACTGGGAAGACCGAAACCTTGTCTGTACGGACCTTTGTCAGCAGAGTAATGTCTCTGCTTTTCAACACACTATCTATGTTTGTCATCGCTTTACTGCCAAGAAGCAATAGTCTTCTAATTTCATGGCTGCAATCACCATCCACAGATTTTAGAGCCTAAGAAGAGGAAATCAGTCACTTTTACTTCCACCCTTTCCCGTTCTATTTGCTGTGAAGTGATGGGGCCAGATGCCATGATCTTAGTTTTTTTAATATTTAGTTTTAAGCCGGCTCTTTCACTCTCCTCCTTCACCCTCAGCAAGAGGCTCTTTATTTCCTTTTGCTTTCTACCATTAGAGTGGTATCATCCTCATATCTGAGGTTGTTGATGTTTCTCCTGCCTGTGTTGTTTCCAGCTTGTAACTCATACAGTCCAGCATTTTAGTTTACCAACTTGTTAATTCTAAAGTCATCTATGCTTGCTCTCCCCACTTAAAATAAAGGCATATATGTGCTTGTAATTCCCCTATCTTTTCATAAGGAAGTTGAGGTGGCACCTCCTCTTCGCCCCACAGTCCCCTGCCATTTGGCTCCCTTCCCACCTTCTGATTCATTTGAGATAGCGTCAGGATTGAGTTCCCAACTGCATCCTAATGGATTTTCCAGCCCTTCTCTTCCTTGACCTTGGACCCAGGGCACGAGGTCGTGGTAAAGGCATAAAGGCAGGTCGAGAACCTCTGCTGTCTACGATACGACTTCTCTAGCAGTGGTGTGCGTGGCGCCGTGTCTAGGGCAGAGCGGCAGGTGACGCCTGAAGATGCTGGCACTCCCACCTGTTGCGCTGGTCTCTTTGTTCCTGAGACACGTGGAATGTGGGGTCATCTGCTGCGAGTGAAGGGGATGGGAGTGGGAAAGGGAACTTGAAAAGACTGGGAAGATTTGAAAAAACCCCTGTGGGTGATGGGCTGGTCAGCAGCTCCTGAGAACAGGGGACTGGCAGGCTCAAGGGGTCAGCCTTTCCCATACTCTGGATATGGGACATAGAAGGTTCTTGCCTTCTCTTTGGTGTCTGAAATATCTTTATAGTCAAATCCTGTGCTTTCCGGCCAGCTGGCTCTGGATTTCTCCACCTAAATTTAAAGGTAGATTCGTTTGTTTTGTTTTCAACACAGAAAACATAAGGTAGAAAATGAAAGCACCCCCACAGTTGTATTTCTTCAGATTGCCTTGTTCACGGCTTGGTGTGTTTTTGTGGAAAACTTTTTTTTCCTTAGCTTCCTTTAGTTTATTTCCTAAAACTAAAATATTTACATAAAGTGTGTTTTTTCTTGCAAACGGTAAGAGATGTACATCTTTCCCTGTTAGTGTGTAGCAAAAGATATTTAAATATATGTTGTTGTTCTTCAGCCACTAAGTCATGTCCAACTGTTTGCGACCCCATGATCTGCAGCACACCAGGCTTCCCTGTCCTTCACTGTCTCCCTGAATTTGCTCAAACTCATGCTCACTGAGTCAGTGATACCATCCAACCATCTCATCCTCTGTTGCCCCGTTCTCCTCTTACCCTCAATCTTTCCCAGCATCAGGGTCTTTTCCAGTGTATCCTAATTTATGAGCTGTTACTCTATTTTTTAATTTGACATGGTTTCCCATTTCTTGCTATTATAAGCAGTTCCATGATGGACATATTGGTAGCTAAATCTTGGCACACATCTTCGATAACTTCATTAAGATAAGCTTGGCCAAAAAAAAAAAAAGATGAACTTAGCAGTAGAATGTGAAATTCTAGGTGTTAGGTTTTTGATCCAGAGTTTTAATTGCCCTGTAGAAAGGTGGTATCAGTTTATCACCTTTATTCTTCTTCAGAATCCTCCCTGACACATTTTAATCTTTAAAAAAAAAATTATTCACTAATATTGAGTGTGAAAACAGGGCATCTCCTTATTTTGTATTTCATTTTATGATGTGACATCTTCGAAGAACGAAGGTGTACTTACTTCTCTTCTTATTCAGCCACCAGGTGTCATATTTGATCACACTGCAACTCTGTCTTAGACCTTTGCTGCCTTTATCGTCTTCCTGTTGACTTAGTAAGAAAACATACTAAACACCTAAATGTTGGCCTTTGGAAAGCACATAACACTTATCTCACGGATGCAGGCTACACCCTTCGTTTGCTTAATGGAATTGTGGGGCCGAGTGGATTGGCCTTTCCCGTGAGAACTGGTAGACAGGATAAACCCACTCTGCCACAGCAAGGATTTTAATTACTGCTGAATTGATTAGTGTTTGGGATAAGCAGCTTTTCAGCTTCATGTAACTCTCCAAAGTCACCTAGTAGTTTTCACAGGATCTCAAGCAGGAACAGCCTCATTCAGCATGATTTGTTTCTCTTCCTGCCTCTTCCTGCCAGTCTCCTTTCTGAGCCTGGGCCAGTATTTCCCTGGCTTTGTTAATAAAGGCATTTTGTGCAACAGGCTGCTTAGGTTGGCTCCTGGTGTTTAAAAGTGAGCTTTTGGTATTCCCAAGTTACTCACAGGATTGCTATGAATTTACAACCAAAGAGCTTGATCCAGGATCATCAAAATTAAAACTGTGAACAGTATCATGAAAGGTATTGTCAGCTTCATCCCATCAGTTCTCAAGGAGCACCCACACCAGCAAGAACTGAGTGTTCTCTTGCTTTCTGCTATGCTAGTGGGATTCACAAATACATGTTTTTGTGTATTCAAGAATCAACTGTAGAATATGATTCAGCCATGAAAAAGAATGAAGTACATGTGTTAGTTGTTCAGTGGTGCCCAACTCTTTGCTACCTCATGGACTGCAACCTGCCAGGGGATTTTCCAGGTAAGGGTGCTGAAGTGGTTTGCCATTTCCTTCTCTAGGGGATCTTCCCAACCCAGGGATCTAACCCAGGTCTCCTGCACTGCAGGAAGATTCTTGATCGACTGAGCCACCAGGGAAGCCCTGATACATACTACAACATGAATGGACCTTAAAAAACGTTATGTAAGCTAAGGGGAGTCATACACAAAGGGCCACATACTAGTAATTACATTTGTATGAAATGTCCCAGAGAGGGAGATCTGTAAAGACAAAGTAGGTTAGTGGTTGCTAGGGGTCGCAGGGAAAGGGAAGGGGGTTCGTAGGTGTAGGGTTTCTTTTGGGAGTGATGGAAATATTCTGGAATTAGATAGTGGTGACAGTTGCACAACACTGTGACTATACTAAACCCCCTGAATTGTACACTTTATAATGCTTAAAATGTAAGTTTTTTGTTACGTTCATCTTAGCTCAACTTTATTTAAAAAAAAATGAACAAAGCTGTCTTTCATGGCTGTTGGGAAGCAGTCTCCCTAATCTCTTTCCAAACCTGCCAAGCTGCCTGATTCCTTCTTTCCTCTTGCCTCTTAAATTTCCTGTCCGTTTCTGTAGTAAG